TCGCTCTTTGTGCTCTCTTTCTTGCTGTTCCTCATGCAGGGCGGCAGTGGGATGACGCACGGCAGGCACAGCGGCTGCTGCTCGCCCTGCTGATGACAGCTCACTCAACGGGAGCGCATGTGGGCGTGCGCGCCGCGGGATGACGCACGGCTGGGAGCCGCACCACTGGCGTGTGGCTGCCTGCTACTGCCCTGCTGACCACCCGCTTGCTGCTGCCCGCGCTGCTGATCACAGCTCACTCAACGGGAGCGCATGCAACGGGAGCGCATGCAACGGGAGCGCATGCGACGGGAGAGCATGTGGGCGTGCGCGCCGCGGGATGACGCACGGCTGAGCGCTTTGGGCGTGGCTGCTGGCAGCACGCCAGGGCGAGCAGGCGGAGCTGCTGGCGCCAACCCCCGTGATTTCTTCCTCCATGCGTGCGTGCTCTCCCGCCCTGCGCCCTTTGGGTGACGCCAAGGAGCGGGAGGGAGCGGCACAGCGCTTCCAGCGAGGAGGACAAGACGCGTGCATGCAGCTTCGGCCGCTGCTGAGGAATCTCCGAACGCTGTGCTGCTGCTGCTGGGAGGGCTGCTGCTGGGAGTGCCGTTGATGATGGGAGTCACTCTGCTGCTGGCAACAACTGCTGCTGCTTCCGTCGCTCAACCCGTCGTACCGCTGCTAAGTCCCCTCTTAACCCCTCAACTCACCCCCTTGCCTTCCTTATCGCTTTCTGTCTTTGGTTCGTTTTCTTGTCGCTTTGCTTTCTCGGCGCGTGCTCGAAATCAAAACGTCAGTTCCGCATGGCGATGGTAGCACATGGCACCGGGGCGGCTTGAGCTCACACTAGACTAGAGTTGTAGGGGGCTAGAATAGAATGCACTCATACACATGCTCGCGTCTCTCTCTTACCCCAGTCCACCCTCGCATGCTAGCTCGCTGCCCTAGTGCCTTGTGCTACCATTGCCTTTCGTGTTGTTCAGCTTGCTTGCTACTCTTCTGCATTTTTCGCTAAAGGAATTCTCGTTTTCATAACTATTTCTGCCTTCCTTTCAATGCTTGCTCCTACTGGACCAGATTCTTTATTCCCTTCTTCTCCGCCTTCTCTCTCCAACCCATTTCCTTGTCCCAGGGTCAGAGCGGAGGGAGGGCAGTGGGATGACGCACGGCCTGAGTCCTGCATGCCCTGCTGACCACGCCACTCCCTCACGGTGCTGCTGCTGCTGGGAGGGCTGCTGCTGGGAGTGCCGTTGATGATGGGAGTCACTCTGCTGCTGGCAACAACTGCTGCTGCTTCCGTCGCTCAACCCGTCGTACCGCTGCTAAGTCCCCTCTTAACCCCTCAACTCCCCCCCTTGCCTTCCTTATCGCTTTCTGTCTTTGGTTCGTTTTCTTGTCGCTTTGCTTTCTCGGCGCGTGCTCGAAATCAAAACGTCAGTTCCGCATGGCGATGGTAGCACATGGCACCGGGGCGGCTTGAGCTCACACTAGACTAGAGTTGTAGGGGGCTAGAATAGAATGCACTCATACACATGCTCGCGTCTCTCTCTTACCCCAGTCCACCCTCGCATGCTAGCTCGCTGCCCTAGTGCCTTGTGCTACCATTGCCTTTCGTGTTGTTCAGCTTGCTTCCTTTTCTTCTGCATTGTTTGCTAAAGGAGTTCTCGTTTTCATAACTGTTTCTGCCTTCCTTTCAATGCTTGCTCCTACTGGACCAGATTCTCTATTTCCTTCATCTCTGCTTTCTCTCTCCAACCCATTTCCTTGTCCCAGGGTCAGAGCGGAGGGAGGGCAGTGGGATGACGCACGGCCTGAGTCCTGCATGCCCTGCTGACCACGCCACTCCCTCACGGTGCTGCTGCTGCTGGGAGGGCTGCTGCTGGGAGTGCCGTTGATGATGGGAGTCACTCTGCTGCTGGCAACAACTGCTGCTGCTTCCGTCGCTCAACCCGTCGTACCGCTGCTAAGTCCCCTCATAACCCCTCTACTCACCCCCTTGCCATCCTTATCGCTTTCTGTCTTTGGTTCATTTCCGTAGCGCATTGTTCTCTCACTGCATGCTCGAACTAAAATTTCATTTCCGCTTGGGAAGGGGCCAAAAGTTGAGTTGCGGGTTCTCGGGCGCGTGGCGATGGTAGCGCATGGCACTGGGGCGGCTTGAGCTCATACTAGAGTCGTAGGGGGTTAGAGTAGAATGCATTCATAATCATGCTGCGTCCCTTCCTAATTTGCCTGCTAGCTCGGCGCCCTAGTGCTGTGTTCTACCATCGCCTCCCCTTTCACTGCTTCACCACACCACGTTCTTTCTGTCTTCAGCTTTTGTTTCCGTTACTCATTCGTTCTTGTTATCTCTGCCTCCTTGCATGCACTTTACTGCTTTCATGCTTCTACTGACCATGTGGACTCCTTTCCCCTGCTCTATTTTCTTGCTCTCCTTTGCTCCATCCCTCTCGTCTGGTGCTATGGCAGCGTGGTGCGGGGAGGGAGGGCGGTGGGATGACGCACGGCAGGCAGTCACAGCGGTGTGCGAGCCTCCTGGAAGCCTCACGCCACTGTCCTGCAAGCACCCCCATACGGCTAAGTTCCCTCTCCCTTCGCCCTTGCCATCCTTACCGCTTCTGCTTCATGGTTATCATTGCCCACTTTTGTACCGCATTCTTCCGTCACCGCGTGTTCGAAACAAATAAGGTCACTTTCAAATGGGAGCAACAAAAGTTGAGTGAGAGATGAGCGGCGTTTGGCGATGGTAGCGCATGGCACTGGGGCGGCTTGAGCTCATACTAGAGTCGTAGGGGGTTAGAGTAGAATGCATTCATAATCATGCTGCGTCCCTTCCTAATTTGCCTGCTAGCTCGGCGCCCTAGTGCTGTGTGCTACCATCGCCTCCCCTTTCACAGCGTCACAGTGCCACGTGCTTTTTATCTTTCACTTTCGTTTCCTCTACTCATCGTTCTTGTTATCTCTGCCTCCTTGCATGCATTTCACTACTTTCATGCTTCTACTGACTACTTGGGTTCCTTTCCCCTGCTCTGTTTTCTTGCTCTCCTTCCCATCTCGTCTGGTGCTATGGCAGCGTGGTGCGGGGAGGGAGGGCGGTGGGATGACGCACGGCAGGCAGTCACAGCAGTGCGCGAGCCTCCTGGAAGCCTCACGCCACCGTCCTGCAAGCACCTCCATACGGCTAAGTTCCCTTTTCCTTCGCCCTTGCCATCCTTGCCGCTTCTGCTTCATGGTTATCGTTGCCCACTTTTGTACCGCATTCTTCCGTCACGCCTCGTATGTTTCCTCTACCCCTCTTCCCAACCCCTCACCCCTCCCGCCCTCCTCCTCCTCCTCCTCTGCTGCATGCCTATCACGCTTTCAGCTGAGTGCCTTTCCTCGCTTCCCTCACTCTTTCCTGCGATCACTCCCTTTCCAGCCTTCCCTCCATTCCGCTCCCTTGGAGGTCACTTGTTATGCAGCAGATGAAGTTAGTTCACATACTGGCAGCAGCAGTATTCGTTCCGGCAGCAGTGGAGTGCGCGGGAGAAGCATCTTGCCAGTCTGTTCCGCTTCTGCTTTCACTCCATCATCCTGTAAGTTTCCTCTTGCAAGGATTTGTGAAATGCGCTGGTGCAGAATCTGCGTGTGATAGTCATAAATGCTGCACCCACTTTCTCTCCCATGCTACACCACCACCCCATGCTCCTCATTTCCACCCTCCTCAGTTCCACCCTCCTCTCTCTTAGGGTACCTTCCTCACTCCTACCCTTCTCACTTTCACCCTCCTTCTTACCCTCCTTACTCCCATCCTCCAACTTCCCACACTCCTCACTCCCGCCCTCCTCACTCCCGCCCTCCTCACTCCCACTCCCTCGTGACGCATACCCTTCTCACTCCCACCTTCATCCTTCCCGCCCTGTTTACTCCCAGCCTGTACCTTCCCACACTCCTCACTCGCACCCTCTTCAGTCTCAGCCTGATCTCCCCGCCCCCTTGTGTCTCGCATGCACTCAGCACGACTCCCGCATTGCGCCTGCCCTTCTGTCCTTGATCTTGCAAGGACACTTGTCCCCTTGTCCCTCATCCAACCTCTGCCACTCCCCAGTTTTTGTCATGAGAATCCATCATTGCTTAGGTGTCACAAGCTACGTGGAACGTTCTGTGTTTATCCTGTTTACAATGGGATGCCACAACACCATCCATAATCAATTCACCTCGTTCCATGCCCCCTGCCTTTTCTGCAAAAGCAGCTGCAGAGATAGAATATTGAAGGCTTGAAGAGGAGCTGTGTTTGTAGGAGACATGGGGAAGAGCTGGGAGGATTGGACAAACTAGTACATTTTGTGTAGGTGAAACTGTAGCCAGACATGATGCTTGGGATATTAAACAGGGTAGGTAGAAACAGCATTGTGGTATGGAGCCAGGTAGGTATAATGAAATGGGTACAGTGGGTGGGAGGGAGGGAGGGAGGTATGGTATGGGGAATAGTGAAAATCATGGGAAGGGTGCAGCAGGGGATTTGACAGCCCAGGAAGCCTTCAAAGAAACAACAGCAAACCATTCGCAAAGGCAGAAGAGCGCACTAACAGCAGAAGTCGCAAAAACAGGGATGCTTTGACAGCCGGACCAGACCGAAACCCACCCACAATCGCAAGGGAATGATGGGAACCCTGTGATACCGGTAGTAATGGAAGCATGGCAAACCATGCATCTCATGTTAGTACCATAGTAGGGGATCCGTAAGGGAAAGTGTCTGAAGCACAAGCACTCCAAAACAGTGCGACAGACAGAACTGTTTGAGAATTACCGTAACAGCTAGACAAGTAAAAATCCGGAAAAATTACCGTAACAGCTAGACAATAACCATGGGATTGAACATGCCAGACATGAGGAGGAACACTAGCAATGCTGGAGGTCGCCACACTAGGGTTGCCGAAAGCATTTGCCCTATGCAGGTCATAATAGCACTGCAGTCTTCTCATCCCTCCACGCAACACATGGCCTCCCTGGCTACTTTTTATCAGCACAAGCCCCTGTGCTTACTCTTTTTCCTGCTCGTCCTTTGCATCAGGGTCGCTGGCCTCTTTCACAGCCTCTTGGAGTTGTTTCACTATTTTCTCTGCTTCAGCATCGATGTCCAACGCTTTCAGTTTCCCAAACGGACGCGGCATGGACTGCATAAAACGCACACCATGATCGGATTGCAGTGAAAACGTTGGAAGAGTGACACAAACACAAACTTCTGAACACATGAAATAGCCTTGTGAAACACAGGTGAAGTCATTAAGCAGCAAGTGGGCCAAGGGAAGGCGGCATCAGAATGGAGAGATGCTATGACAACGAGAGAGGGGGAGGGGGAGGGGGAGGGGAAAGGGGGGAGAGAGAGGGGGGGAAAAGAGGGAAAGGGGAGGGGTGCGGAGAGGAGGGAAAGCAGCTCACCAGCAGGGAGATGAACGTGGATGAACCGTCAGCCAGTCGCACCTCAAAGCACCCTTTCCGAGGCTGATTGGACATGAGCAAGCACCAATACACAATGCAGCACCGAGGGTCAGATCAGAAGCAACGTCGACAAGGGTCAGCACTAAATTCCTTCTTAAAGCCAACGAGCGCTTGTCAGCATCAATTCGTCACGCGGCCCACCTTTTCGGGGTTAATGGAGACGGTCACGTCTGGCAGCGCTGCCTTGATCAGCTTCTCCAGCTTCGCCGCGCGCGTCTTAAACGCTCCTCAGGACTTGCTGCACGTTTGACGCGGACAAGTATTACAAATTAACGCGCGATGCAAGAACGATACTCTTCATCTGCAAATTTTAAATAGCTACACGACGGAAAGGCGAAAAAGAGTAAGTACCATGCCTCGATGATCAATGTTCGAGCACTCCCAGCATTGCTGCTTGTCGCTTCGACGGCGACCGCAACAGCCTCCTTCGCAGCGCGTGCTCTCGTGGTGGCTGGCTTCTTAGCCGGCGCCGTGCTCGCAGCTGCCTTCCTCTTCTTGGGAGCCATAGCAACGGGTATCGCTTCCGAAACTGCAGCTGGCAATCAGTGTTCTGGTAGATGTGTGTGATGTCTACACCTCAGGTCTGGTCTCTCCCCCACCACCAGTACGGTTTGCTGTGGTTGGGTAGTGTGTGAAGGATGAGCGGGAGGGAGGGAAGGTAGGAAAGGGGGGTGGATGTGATGACGAACAGCTGCGACGGATAGCGAAAAGTGCATGACCCAGCTGTCAGTTCATCACGATGGTTGGCGACAAATGTGTATCAAACCCAGCTCCGGTACTCGATTGTAGCCACCGCGTTTGGAAATTCAACTTTGCCATGAGCTGAATGGAAACTGCAAGAAACATTTATTTCTGCAAATCAACAAAACGTACCGTAAGAAATCAACAAACCTCCTCGCGAAAACCCCCCCACAACCCTCAAAACCAAACACCAAAATCCCAATTTTAACCACTACCGATTCCACTTGAACCATTCCTGCGACACCTTCCCTTCGCTCGAACTCTTACCCCGGACTCCCGCACCGCGATTGCCCTTGATTCGCGTCCGCCATTATCCACGAGGTGTCACCAGCGAGAAGAGCGCACGCCCGTTGTTTAGCTATGCGAGGGTCGGGCATGGCAGCGGCAGTGCCTGCCAACGCGTACCGCTTCTGCTGCTTGTGCGGCACGCTGCTAGACATGCCGTCGGTCGGTAGCATCGCGCAGTGCGCTCTCTGCGCCACGCCTCAGAACCTACGTGGTGCGCGCCCGCCTTTCTGCAGTCTATATTTTCCTGACCGTTTCCGGCCGTTTCCTTCCCCGCCATTTCTGGTTCTCGTCTCTCCGCGTCTCGCCTCGCCTCGCCTGCTTCTTCCCTCTTCCCTCCTCCGCTGCTCCTTTCCCTCCCGATATCACAATCATGATATCACAATCATGCGCCCCACTTCCCTTTTCCCCCTCCCCAGATTGGCCATCGCTTGGCGTTACCACAACCAGCGGTCCGCAGGTACGTGCGCTGCTGTGCCGAGATAGTGTAATATTCTGAGGCGTCAAAAAGTCGTCTTTTGCGTGCGTCTCCCACAGTCCACGTTGCTTATCCTGAAACCACATCCCACCTCTGCGTTTCCACATATCAACCCCACCTTCGCCCGCGCCCTCCTTCCCCTTCACGCCCTCCCCTCTCTGCGCGGACTGCGCATTTCCCCGCAAACGGCGCATGGGTATGCGCGGAATGGGCGCGTGTTGCGCGTGTGGCGTTTGCGGGGGGGCGCAGGACTTGATGCGGCGGTACGGCGTGGACCCCATCGTGCCACTGGACTCGGACATGGGGGGCGGCGCCAGCAAGGAGAGCATTAAAGAGCGCGCCAAGGTGGGGGGATGCCAGGGACGGGTGGACAGGAAGGGGTGGGAGGGAGAGAGGGAGGGCGAGCTAGACGTGTCGCCAGGTGGTTGGTCTGGTAGTATTGGGGAATTCGTCAGGTTTCGACTGTCAGACAGGGGGGCATGCCAGGGGGGCATGCCAGGCTGTGCTGTGGTTCAGTTCACGTCGCTGAATCACCTGCTCTTTGCCCCCACACACATCCCTTACAAAACGAACTCTCCACTGTCTTGGCTGTTTGGGTATGTGCTACAATGCCTTGCACACCTGCTCATCCCTCTTCACCATATCTATCCGTGCCCCTGGGTGTGCGTACTCGCCCTGTGTGTGATATGTGTGCCCTGTCTGCCCTTTGTGCCCTGTGTGCCCTATCTTCCCTGTGATCCCTCAGGTGAACGAGACATGTCCCAAGTGTGGCAACAAGGAGATGGAGTATTACACCATGCAGGTACCCTCACCCCTCCCCTACCTCCCTCCCTCGCCTCACTCCTCACACATCTCACACACCTGTATTTTCTCCACCTGTTGTTGACCTTACCCATTCCTCTTGCAGCTTATCATAGCTCTCACATTGTACTTTCAAGATGTTTTCCCACGGTATGTGCAGCAGAACCAATCCCTTCTATTCCCTTTGTTTCCTTCACGTGCCCTATCCTGTTGTGGGTGCCAGTTGCGGTCTGCGGATGAAGGGCAAACAGTATTCTATGAGTGCACCAAGTGCAAACACAAGTACAGCCTCAATACATAGCTGCTCTTTCCTGCTCAACACAAGTCACAAGCGCTGCTTATGCTACAGCGCATGGCACACATGTAATGCCTTTTTCTAATCAATCAATATTCTGCAGTGTGAAATTCTGGTTGACACAGGCGTCCCAAGGTCATCTACCACTGAGTATTATATAAATATTCAGATAAAACAGTCAGAAGTCATGGCATGGTAAAACAGTGCACCGCACATAACCGCAGTGTTAACCTTCTGTCTAAACAGCTCCCCTGTTCACATGCACCTCACCTCAGCAGATTCAGTAGTGGTACCCTGAAAAATAAGCTACTGCTGTCAATTTACTAGGCAGAAGTTCTATGCCATTCCTGCTGTCACACAAAAACCCCAGATATAGTGCTGGGGCAATAGAAGCAGCACAGCACACCCTGTCCCACGACAGCAAGCACGCAGTGCAGTGGCTGCAGGGCAAAGGCGTATGAATTGGAGGGTAGCCACAGCCACAAAGGCACAAAGCAGGCAGGCTAAGAAGAGGTGGTGGATCGGGGCATGCTACTAGCCCCTCCCCGTCTCGCCCCGCCTTGCGGCAGCCCCCCCGTTTGCTTGGAAATCCGTGGCATCGCCACAAACGCCCGCTGCCCCGGCCCTGCTCCAGGCCCGACCCTCTCCCCTCCATGCGCCTGCCCTCCCCCATCTCCTGCTCCTGCATGCCCCCCTCCCCCTGCCCCACCCATGCCTCCCATGCTCTGCGGTGCTGCAACTGACATCCCGCGGACCATACTAGACCGCACCCCCATTCCCCCTCCTGCTCCGCCTCCTCCCCCTCCTGCTCCGCCTCCTCCCCCTCCTGCTGCCGCCCCCGCTGCCCCTGCCTCTGCCGCTGCAGCGACAGCAGCGGCGGCCGCGGCGGCAGCAGCAGCGGCAGCTGCATCGGATTGGTGTTGGCAGGAGGAGCAGACCCAGCGCTGCGCATAGTGGCCTGATCGGTCCACTACCATCTTGCTGCCTCCGCACCGCCCACACACCACCTTCTTGCATGTCACACACTCAAAGCGCCGCTCTCCCACTGTGAACCTCCTCCTGCACGCCCCTGCACACACCGACACCTGGAGGTGTGGGGGATAGAGGATGATGGGGAGAGGGGTAGAAAAACAGGGGCAAGGGATGCGGGGAGTTGGCGTGTTATACAACGGTTTGATATGGATGGAGAGGTTGGGAGACTGGGAAGGATGGACTGAGGGAGGGGGTAACGGACGGAGCGAATGAGCAAGACGGTCCAAGGAAAAAAAGGAAGTGAAGCAAAGGAGGAGCACTCACCTGCGCATCATGCAGCATGATGTTCTCAGCATCACCATCGGGAATGGCCCAACATGCAATGTGCCCTGCAATGTCCCCTGAGAACAGCTGACGGAGCTCCGGGGTGAGGAAGAGCGCTGTGACTGCCTCCTTGTGCCACACTAGCTCGCGGCACAGCACGAGCTTCCACTCTGGGTCCACGCGTGGAAAAAACGTGCCTGGCACCAGCACCTTCCTTCTTCGCCTGCCGCTGCCTGTCTGCTGCTCACGGCCCGGCACAACTGCCAACTGATTCTGATTCTGCTGCTGCTGCTGTGTGGTTGCGGCTGCTGCGTCTCCGTTCGCCTGCCTGCCACCCTCGTCCTTGTCCCCCTGCTCCTGCTGCTCCTTGCCTTCCGCATTCAACTGCTGGACACTCACCCCACTCGTTCCACTCCCTGACTCCTTAAAGCTGCCGCCATACCCACTGCCGCTGATGCTGCCGCTACCGCCAACAGTCTCATGCTCTGCCCTCTTCACAGACACATTGGCCGGCACGCACCAGTCCATGCACCACATCTTGATGCTCCCGTTCCTGTGCCCCGTCAAAAACCACCCCGTGTCCATCCAATCCGAGTGTGAGGGCGTGGTCACACACGTGATAGCCTCCAGCATCGAGTGGGACGTGTTCACCTTGGCCAGGCAGTCCCCATTCACAGTCCACACACTCAGCAGCGTGCCCGCTCCCACCACCACGTCCCCCGTGCTGTCGCTCACATACACCACAGACACCGGCGCAGGCATCACCGGGAGCTGCCGGACAAAATCGAGAGAGTTGAGATCCCAAAGGATCACCGTGTGGTCGCTCGAACCAGTCACTACGAGCCCCCACGCTTGGCTCATGGCTAGGGACGTCACAGCCTGAGTGTGCGCACACAATCGCCGCAGCAGCTGCAGCTGCCGCTGCGCCTGCGCCTGCTGCTGCTGCGCCTGCCCGGGTTGACTCTGGGACTGAGACGGAGCACCCCGACCGGGAGGCCCATCCCCTAGAGACCTCCAGATCGCCACCACTCCATCCGACCCTCCCGTTGCGATGAACGTCCCGTCGCGGCTCACCGCAGCGCACTGAATCGGCCCGTTGTCGTGTAGCGCCTCGTGCGTGGCCAGCAGCTTATCCTGATCCGTGGACACCACTCTCAGGCTCCCATCGGGGAACCCCCAGAGCAGCCGGCGGTCATTCGACGTGCCCTTGATGAGCGAGTTCCCGACCAACACGCCCACCTTATCCTTCACCATGAGGATCTGCGTGACCATCTGGCGCACGTTCCGTGACTCCTCCATCTGAACGAGGTCGTGGTAGCGCAGGCAGTTGACGAGTGGCGGTCGCTGGTGGGACTCGCGCTTGGGGTGCGGCTTGAGGAAGAGCTGGCGCGGCGTCTGGCCGAAGTTGTTGATCTGCGCGAGGATGGAGGCCTTGGTGGAGGGGTCCGTGATGGCGTCTATGTTCACTGAGCCCTCGTATGTGAGGTAGAAGAACACGTTCACTGCCTCCACTGACGCCTGTGGTGGGCGTGAGGGGGGCGGGGGGGGGGATTGGGGGACGAGGGATGGGAAGTCGGGGATTGGGGATCAGAGATGGAAGATGGGGGTTAGGGGATGAGGAAAGGTGGATGGGGGATGGGAGATGGGGTTGGAGTTGAGGGATAAGGGGTAGGGTTGGGATGGAGGGGAGGTGTGATGGAAGTGACAAGCAAATGCGCCATTCTGCAAAAAGCAGGGGTGAAAACATGCATAACCCAAAGTGCACATTGGTAGAGGCAGGGGTGGGAGCGACAGGTAGGCGGCGGGGAGGGAAGGAAGGCGAGGAGAGGCGGGGAGAGTGAGGAGAGACGGGAAGAAGTGGCGGGGTAGAGGGGAGGCACGGACGGGCCCTTGCTGCTTGTAGCCGAAGATGAGGTCGATCCACTCGTTGAGATGCTCCGACACGTATGGTGACTCCAGCGCCTCCCTGTGCTTGCGGATAAACTCCTCCGGACTGCCGTTGGCCCATGGCGGCAGGATCACATTGTCCACCTGGTGGCGTGGAGATCGAGGGTGAAAGGGGGAGGGAGAGAGGGGAAGTGCAGTTGATTTTTGAGACATGGGGTTAACGGGGGAAGGTACATGGGGGCATGGGGGGTAAGGTACGTGGGGGTATGGGGGTAGTGGGGTGGAGGGACGACCACAGGTGTGTGGTGTAGAAATTGGACAGAGAGTTGAGAGGGAGGTGGGGAGGGGGCGGGGGAGGGTGACAGGGGATAGAATACTGCTGAGTCAAGAGAGATGGACGGAAACCCACTGAATCCCCTACCATACATCCACATCTACACCCACACTGCACCCATCACCACCCACACCACACCCATCACCATCCACAACCCCACAACCCCCCCCACACCCACACCCACACCCACACCCACACCCACACCCCATCAACACCTCACGCACTCACGCACACAAGCACACCCCACATCCACAAACACACCCCCACCAGCACTCACCCCTTCCCCGCTCTGTTTAACCCCCAAGTCCAGATTAAACCGGTTTTCCAGGAACGTCGGCACATAGTAAAACTCGGGAGTGAGCTCCTTCACATCCGCCGTGTGCCCGGTGCTAGCAGACTTCCACGTCTCCTGGATGGAGTAGAACATGCGGTCCGCGTGGTCAAAGTGCCCGCCCTGCAGCTGCATGTTCTGCCGCGAGAAGGGCGGCAGGCGCATGAGGTAGTAGAGAACTGTGCCCGCACTCGAGTAGTGGGAGCCGTAGTGGAACCGCGGGATGTCCGGATCGTCCCACGTGTTGTACCTAGTGGGTGCGGCAGGGGGGAATGGTGGGGGCCGGTGGGGGTGGATGGGTGGGTGGGGGAGGGGGGCGGTTGAGGGAATGGGGGGTGGGTGAAATGGGGGGTGGGGGAAATGGGGGGTGGGGGAAATGGGAGAGAGGCGGGGAAGAAAGGGGTTGGGGAGCACGCACTAAGGGCCATGAGGTGTGTCTGTGTGTGGCGGCTTGGAGACTTGACCAATGACGGTCACAAGAGCGGGTACCGTACCGCACGCATGACACATCACGTCCACCCACATGCCCAACAACCTCCATACCAACCAGCCCCCCGCCTCTCTCCACACAGGAGGCCCCCATGTGCGCCCGGCCACGCACCTGCGCACAAACTCCTTTTCCCTCTCCGCCGTAATACACCCCATGGGCTTGTTCAACGGGCGGAACGAGCTGGGATCGCTCAAATCCAGCTCCTGGCTGAGGTAATCCGCGAGCACCCAGGGGAAGACGGGGTACTGCGTGAGGTCGTTGTACCCGCGGCCCGCCAGCGTGTTGAGGTGCATGAGGTAGTGGAAGTTGCTGATCTCGCCCGCCTGCCACCGCTTGCCCAGCGACTTGGCCATCATCTTGAACAGCCGGTGCGGCTCTGCCGCCTCCGTCGCGTTCGATATCGTCGAGTCCAGCCTGGCAAGTGGGTGGGGAAGGGAGGGGTGTGGGGAAGGGGGAAGGGGTGAAGAAAGAGGAGGGTGAGAGGCGGTGGAGCCGATAGAGAAGGCATTGCGAAATGGCTCTGCAGGACCTCACCAACCACTGGCAACAACTGGAAAGCCTCACCAAATGACTGCCTACACTACCCCCAACTCACAGGCTGTTCCTAGGCAGGTTCATGGCCTGCAGGTTCTTGAAGCACTCGTCGCGCTCATTCAAGTGAAACACCAGCAGCTCGTTGTTTCCCGACATGGAGAACAGCTCTATGGCCACGGGCCGCAGCTGGTACCGCCGCTTGAGCACCTCATGCACCTCCTCGTGCTTCCACTTCTTGCACTCGTGCGACAGCACCGCCTCCTCCGCTGCCGCCTCCTCCTCCTCCTCCCCTTCCCCTCCCAACTCCCCCGAGTTCTCCCCGCCGCCTCCGCCCGTCGCTCGCCACGCTGCGACCGTCTCCGCCCACCCACCAACCAGCCCCACGCCATGCCTCTTCATGGGATTCGCCCCGCATGCTGCTGCTGTGAACCCTGACGGCTTCCCCGGCTTCATCCCAAGCGCCTGATCCAGCACAGACACCGTCCCCTCCGCATCCTTCTCCCGGAACCTCCCCGTGCTGTCGATAAAGTAATTGTCAATAACATACAGGCACTGCTCGCCTATGAGGAAAATCCCGTCCCGCTTATCCAGCCCCACCACGCGGTCGCAGTTGTACCGGAAGCGAATCCGCTCCCCGGGTTCCAAGTGCGGGCGGATTAGGTACTCCCCGTCATCGCTCTCTGCTCCTCCCCCTGCGCCGCCTCGCAGGCAGTCCGCCCCCAGGTCGTACCCCATGCGCTTGCTGCTGCCGCGCGATGCAGGGTCCGTGCTGCTGCTGCCGCCACTGCTGCTCGCCTCTATCCCCCGCGCTGCAGCCGCCCCGCTTGCAACAGCACCAGCACCAGAACCAGCACTTGCACTGCTGCTCAGCCTCCCGGACTTCGCTGCATCAGGCTTGGAGCCATCAGTCGCACCACCTGCTGCTGCCCCCCCTTTTCCCTCATCCTTCCCAGCTGGCTCCCCCACAGCATCATTGCCCTGCTCCTCCGCCTCCTCCTCTGCCAATGCTTCCATATGCGAAGCAACCAGGTCTGCCAAGCTACCGCCCTCATCGTCCAAATCAACCATGGTGGAGTGGGCGCGGTATATGCGAGGAGGGGTACCGTCACTCACTGACAGCTGCAGATACGACTCCTTGCCCCCTCCCTCCTTGCCCTTCCCACCTCCCGCGGCTTCCTCCTCTTCCTTCGCCGCTTCTTCCCCGTCCTTCTCCCCGCCTTTCCCCTCCGCATCCCCAGCACCGCTCTCTGCTGCCGGCTTGCTGCTCTCGGCCTTGCTGCTCTCCCTGCTGCGTCTCTCCGCCTCCCTCGCCTCCTCCTCCGCCCCTTCCACGATGGGAATCGGTTCCGGCTCAATGCACGTCACGCACTGCTTCTGCCTCAAGTCCACCTGCACCTTACTCCTCCTCATCTTCTTCCTCATGCGGAACGGCCCCTCAGTCGAGCACAGCTGCCACTGCAGCGTCCCCGCTCCCTCTTCCTCTCCCTCCGCCTCGTCCCCTCCTTCACCCTCCTTCTCCCCCCCTTCCTCGCCCCACTTGGACCTCTGTTTCGTGTCCAGCCCCCCCGGCCAAGCGGGCCAGATCCCTCTCTCATGCACCAGCTGCTGCAGATGCCCCTGCCACTCCCTCTCTGCCTGCAGCACCCATCCAAATTTGTCCTGCCGCCTCACCAGCAGCTCCTTGGCAATCCCAAACCGCACCTTCTCAGCCGTCCCCACATTCCCCGCCTGCTGCTCCTCATACCTCGCCAGCGACCGCAGGCTATCCCTCGCCCGCCGCTGCGCCTCCTTCCGCCGTCGCACCTCCAGCACCTTCACTCTCCCGTCCGCGGCGCGCGCAGCGGCAAGCACAGCGTCGCGCCAGGCAGGCGTGGCCTTCTGTCCCAGCACTTCCACCACCAGCGCCTGGGACCCCACCAGCCAGTGCACCAGAGACGCCTCTCCGTTCTGCAGCACTGTGTCAAACCCCCCATGAAATAAATCCACTACATCGCCTCTCGGCGTGCGGAAGGTAAGTAGGTCCTCTAGTTCCTTCGCCCGGTGTGCTACTAGTACCTTCCACGCCTCTGCTGCTAACGCCACGTGCTGCTGCTGCTGCTGAATCAGCGACTCCCTCTCGTGCCCCGCTCCCCCGCCCTGCTGCTGCGGCGGCAGCGCCTGGGAGGACGGCAGCTGGAGAATCATGTACGTGAGGTTATGGCACAGGCATGCGACGAGCTCTAGATCCACACTCACGCTCGACAGGATAATGCCGTGATTCGCCAGAAGCAAGTGCAGAGAATCTGATCGGTCCAGGCTGGGATCGAGAGCAGGGACCATGCGCCTCTCTCCCACCCACGGCTCAGCAGCATACGTGCCACTCGTTCGCACCGACCCTGTCACTTCATCCCCGTCCTCCCCGCTTGTCACCGCACGCACCCCCACCATATCCGAAGGCAGGAACGAGTACAGCACCAAGCGCCCACAGGCTTTAAGCAGCGCGAGAATGTACGGCTCTAGGAAAGTACCACGAGTGCGGATGAGCAACCCTCTGGTGGCCGGCTGGGCGTTTTCTATCAGCCCGTTGGTGTTGGCAGCCTGGAGCAGCTGCAGCATGAATTGCAGCACCTGCTTGCACGACTTGGGCCGCGCAAACGACCCGCAGAAGGCAGCATCCGCGAGTACCGGCGCCAGCGCCTCTAGATTCGGCCCCCAGCGCGCGCGATCCAGCTTGCTGGCCTCTACACTGCTTGCAAGCAGACACCGCTCGAGAACCAGCAGCACGCGCTGCAGCCACTGCCCCGTGAAAACCGCTGCAACGTCAGCAGGGATATCCCCTGGCACTGCGTCCTGTACTGCATCTAGCAGCGCCGCACTCTTAGGCACCTCCAGAAGCGCCCCTGCCACCACCTCTCCGATGATATCCAGCACTATCCCTGCCGCTACTGCCGCCACGTTCCCTTTCATGCTCTCTGAATCCACGAGAAAGAGAGCCTCTGGAACGAGGGCTGTGAGGCCGTCTGCGTGCTCGTCCCCCCCTGCCCCGAACATCTCCCCATCCAGCTTGCCGCTGCCCGTCTTCCCCAGCGAGGAAAACCCGCTGGATGCAATCTCGTCCGTCGATTCCCTCGCGCCGCCCAGCCACGTCATCATGGACGCAGCGGTAACGCTGAGGTGGCGCGCGAGGGGGGAGTTGTAGGAAGGCGACCCGGACTGAGCTCCCAACGGCCCTGCCTGCCCTGCCAGCCCTGACGGTCCCATTTGGCCTCCTGTGTAACCTAGCACAGAACCCGCACTAGCGGACGCAGAGATAGCAGGCCGACTTGCAGTTCCCACAACAGCGTCTGCGGATCCAGAGAGGCGCACCCGGGCGCCCTTCCTATCCGCTTCAAGCCCATACACGGCGCGATTCACCACCTCCTCTCCTTCATCCTCCTCCTCCTCCGCCTGTCCGTCCTTCCACTCCACCCCCCCTTGGTCCTCCTCTCCATCCCCCTCGTTGTCCCCGCCCGAAGCGATGGCTTCAAGGGATGCGGTGCGGGAGGCCTTGCGGGGAGGAGCACGGGATGAAGGGCGCGGGGAGGGGGCCTGTGTAGTGGCCTTGCGAGCTGCCTCCGCGCAGTGCCTGCAGTCGTGGGATGGTGGGAGAAGGATGGCGGGTGGGGGATGGATAGGCAGGGGGGAGGTGGGGGAGGGGGGGGTGGGAAAGGAAGGGGAAGAAAACGTGATGATGGAGGACCCATAAGATACCGGCCCCAGTCTAGCAAACGCGAGAAAACGTGGAGGGAACGTGTGAGGGGCTAGGGCAGCAGCACGTACCGAATGCAGACAAAGAAGAGGTCCAGCAGGCCCTCAAGGCACTCGGGACGGCGCGTGGCAGCAGCCAGTGCAGTGGGCCCGGGGCAGTGCACACCATGCAGCCAGAACCGCAGCACTCCCACCACCAGAGCTGCTGCCCCCTCTGGCCCTCGCTTCAACGGCTCCACTAGCGCCTGCCTCCCCCCTCCGCTCCAGTCCCCACTCTGACCCACCGCATCCCTGTCTCCCTCGCCCTCTGCTCCACCCTCTCCGGTATACCCGGTCTGACTTGCACCCGCGGGGGGTTTCTTCTCAGCAGTCTCAGCGGAGGCAGCAGAGAGCAAAGCAGCGCGCAGCATGGCGAGAACGGAGTCTAAGAGCTCAGGGAACAAGAGGTCCTCCCCTGGGCTGGCCTTGAGTGGCAGCAGCGCGTGCAGGTCCAGCAGACGCACGTCGTCCCTGTCAGTGAGCGCGGGCTTGGGGTCAGCGCCAAAGAGCGCAGTGAAGAGCACCAGGAAGATATCCGGCTCGCTGTGGTACGACGCCAGCACGCGCGACAGTGAGTAGAACCCGCCGGCCTGGCGGAACCTCACGGCAAACTGCGTGGGCGAGCGCAGGGAGTCCGCGAGCAGGATCAGCACGCGCTTGAGGGAGGACTCGTGCAGGTGGGGGTCCAGCAGCAGGGTGGTGATTTTGGTGGCAACGGCTCTCTGCCAGAGGTCCAGGCGCTCGTCTGTGGGAGTGAGGCCCAGGCGCAGCTGCAGCTGAATGAGCATCTCCAGGAGCGCGTTGCGCGTGGCTACGTGACGGCCGTACGGTTCTCGTGTAGCAACGGAGCCAGTGCTGCAGGTCACTGGTGGTGCCCCGGATCCCGCGTTGCCGCTGCTGCTGCTGCTCCTCCGTAAAGACATCTCCCCTGCCCCGCCTGCTACCACTGCCTCCTCCTCCTCCTCCTCCTCCTGCTCCTCCCGCGGCTGCCATCCCTCCCGCCCCTGCTGCCGCTCCCCCCTTGAAGGTCATGAGGACGAAATCCGACACCTGCTTGGTCTCGGCAGGCAGGAACCCCGCTCCCAGCACGCCCCCCAGCACGCCCACAAGCTTCCTCACCACCTCCGGGTCCAGCTCAGTGTGCTGCAGCGCCAGCAGCAGGCGAGGCACCACATCCAGGCGCCTCAGAAACGCAACGTTGTGGCGGCGGAAGCGGCTGCACGTGACCACGAGGTGAAGGAAGTCTAGAAGCTCGTGCTGCAGTTGCAGAGGGGCGATGGACCAGATGGTCCAGTCGAGCAGCACATGCACCACTAGCCCTGGACTGCACAGCACCACCTCTGACGCCTCTGCTGCCTCGAACGCCGCACTCACAGCGGTTACAGCAACAGCAGAGGGGTCTGCTGCGAGCAGGAGAGACGAGGGCTTGTGGGTGGCGGGCGCGGCGAGGGAGAGCAGGAGGGAGAAGGAGGCGGGAGTGACGAGGGGCATGCGCTGGTGCAGGAAGATGGCGAGCATGTGGTGCCCGCGCAGGCGCCGCATCTCCTCCTGGTTGCGGGGGTTCTCACGCAGGCAGGAGGTGAGCAGGGAGAGCGCGAGGTGCAGGCGCTCGGAGGTGTCTGCCATGTCGAGCAGCGCGAGCAGCACTGCCATGCCGCCGATGACTCGCAGGCCGTCGGCTACGCTGCTGGGGCAGCATAGCTGAATGTCGCCGAATAGAGCGGCCATTTTGGGACCTGGTGTGTGGGGGAGAAGAGACAGCATGTCGTGGGTTGAGAAGGCAGGAGAGGAGGGGGTGAATGGAGTGCTTGGAGGAGCTCAGAAACAAGGTGGTATAGATGGGGAATGGGGCATCCAGGTGTGTGTAACAGCATGCAAGTGCACACATGCATTCAGTCATGCACCCGCGCCACACACACGACACACCATACAGCACACAGCACACCATCACCCAGCACACAGCTGACCTCCAAGAGACGAGGCAGAGCCATGACTTAAGTCCACGAGGTTGACCATGGTGCGAGCCAGAGAGGCGGGGCACGGCTCGCCATTGTCCTCCAGCTCCACCGTGGACCCATCAAACTTGAATATGATCTTCCTGCTCGCCACCGCCGCTGCCGCCGCTGTCGGCTTCTCCGCGTCCCACACCACCGGGCACAGCTCGCCCTCGCCTGCCCTCGCAGCCGCTGCAGCCATGTCATGGAAGATGGACGAGTCGTCCCCTTTCACCCACAGCCCCGTGGGGGTTCCTCCCTGCGCGGCCGCCTCTGCGTCAATGCGCTCCACTAGCAGTAAATTACGGGCGCTGCTGGCCTCCAAAGGCAGGAACTGGCGAATGGCCGGGTCCTGGAACACCCCGCGGTACCCTCGGCCGAGCAGGTACATGAATAGCACAGCAGAGGACGAGACGGCTTCCTCAAACAACACAGTGGGGCCCAGCTGCCACGTGAGCGGACTCACACAGGCCGCCTCGCTGCCTGTGCCTAGAGTGACTCTCAGCAGCTTGCCTTGGGGCGACGGGGCGAAGGACAGCTTGCCGGTTTGCTGCAGCAGTCCGTCGATATAGAGCGAGGCGGAGTCCACATGGAAGAACCCGGACAGGGCTGATGGCTGCCGGAACACCACAGTTATGAAGTGCCACGTGCCCTCCTTCAGCTGCACGTTTGAGAACCGCACCTTGCTGCTGCTCGTGCCGCTGCTGCCGCCGCCGCTGCCGCTGCCACCAGACGCACTTGCAGTGACCGACCCGCCCGCACTCCCACTTCCACCCGCACCCGAGTTGGTGTTAGCAGCCAAGGTAATCACCCCGTCCTCATCAATAAAGAGCTCCGCGCAGCACTCGTGGGGCTCTCCTGCGGGCGCCACAGTAAACACCTGCAACCGTCTGGCCCGGCCCATCCTGCCGTTATCACTCCCGCCTCGCTGCGACCCAAAGCTCAGCCTCGCGCGCACCTCACTCTCCTCGTCGCTCTCCCCATCATCCCCATCACTCCGCAGCCCTGTGAACCGGAGCCAGCACGCGAAGGAGAACCCCCCGGCGGGAGGCCAGGGGCGCTCGCCTATAATAGCATGTGCGCCCGCGTACCCCACGCGGCGCATGCTGAGGTCGGCAAAGGAGGAGACGGCCACGCTCTGTGCGGAGCCGGAGGAGGCGGCGGCCATGCGGCAGAGCATGCGCAGGAAGCGCTGCCCCATGGGGTCGTGCGGCGCGTCTGCTGGCTGCCGTAGACGCAATGCCATGAGCCGTAGCTCCGTGGGGGAGATCCTGAAGAGGGTGGTGGGGGTGGGAGGTGAGGGGAGGGGAGGGGAGGGGGGAGGGGGGAAGGGAAAGAGGGGAGACACGCAGGATGAGGGGCGTCTGCTGGCTGCCGTAGACGCAATGCCATGAGGCGCAGCTCCGTGGGGGAGATTCTGAGGGGTGGGGAGAGGGGAGGGGAAGGGGGAGAGGGAGACCATGGGGGGAGGGATCGGTTATGAGATATGTTGAAGGTTCGGGGAGGTTGAGGAAGGGTGGAAGGAAAAGGAGGAGCGAGGTGGGGTGGAAGACACAGGAAGGGTGAGAGACCGGATGTGGAGTGACGAGCTGAGGTGGAGGAGAGTGGGTGTATCTGATCTGATATGCAGAATGGAGTTGCAGAGCCGTGCTTGGTAGCAGGAAAGAACCAGAGACGCACCTGAAGGTGCCAACAATTTCAACGGTCTCGAGAATGGTGTCGATGGTTCCTTCTGCAAGGGTGTGCGACTTGTGAATGAAGAGCTCCAGCAGCACTTGCACCACGTCTGAGAGTCACACCCACGCACAAGACACACAGCACAACGCACAGGAGCACAAACAACACAAACAACTTGTCATCAGAAAAAGCAACACAATGACACAATAGCAAACGCCTAGTTCCCCTTCAAATGCTCGTGCCTCCGCCCATCCTATCACCATCATAAAATACAGTCCGTGCCCCACACTGTCATGACTCACCACACCAGCCATCACCAAAACCAGACTCACGAATGCTGCTGAACGCCTCTGCATTGCGGGGCGAGAGCTTGGCGAGCACCAGCACAGCGGCCAGCAGTCGCTCGACCGTGGGGGTGGCGAGCAGATGCAGCGAGTCCAGTAGCATCTGCACCACCACTGCATTGTGCACCGTCACGCCCTCCCTGTCCCGCACCACCCCCACCTCATCCACCACCCACTCACACGGCCCCCACGGGCTCCCACCCCCTCCTGCACCCCCGCTCGCCCCTTCCCCAACGCTCTCCCTCCTCCCGAACCCCTTCCCTGACAGCCTTCCTGCTGACCCGCCCGCTTCACTCTCCACCCCCCTGTCATCATGCCCCGAGTGCGGAGTGGCATGCGATCCCTTCACAGGCGTGGGCGAGGGGGACGAGGGCACGAGAACCTGCGGCAGGCTGGTGCTGCGAAGGGTTTCTGTGGCGAGATCCAGCAGGGAGCGAATCAGCCGCACGTCGTACGGCGGGGCGAGCAGCCCCGTGTGGGGCAGCTGGCGGGAAAACTCCTCTGGTTTGAGCATCCGCCGCAGGGCCAGGCGGCCTGCGGGGTTGGCCCGTACCGCTCTCAGCAGCACGCTGAGAAGCGCGTCGACAAACTCAAACTTGAGCGCGAGGGGCGTTTCGCCCAGGTCTGCGAGCTGGGCGGCCTTGGACATCATCATCTGGTACCGCCCCGCCACTGGCGACCCCTTCCCCACGACCCCCACCGATAACGCCGACCCTGCTGCTGCAGCCGATGCAGCACCGGTCGCAGCTGCCCCAGCCGCAGCAGAAGCAGCAGCTCCAGTAGATCCCTTCACAGGCGGCTTCCCAGCGGAAGGAGAAGCGGCAGAAGAAGCAGCAGCAGCAGGCTTAGATGAGGTGGTGGAGTCAAGGGAGCTGGAGCCCTTGATGCTGGCAATGACAGCAAGGCCGAGCGAGAAGCCATCGACCTTGAGGAACGTCTCCTGCACTGCAGGGTTGGCAGACAGCACGTGGGACAGCGTCCACAGCACCTCGGTGCGCGCTGCTATGTCCAGGCGCCACATCCTGCCTCCTGGCGACCCTGCCACTCCCCTCCGCGCCACCTGCACCAGCCCAGCCACCTCGTCCGGATTGGTCTGCAGGGACGCGTGAGGAGCAGAGGAGAGTTGGGTGCGGGAGGGAGTGGGGGAGGGAAGGAGGGATTGAGTGCACAGCAGCGAGTAGAAGTCGAGCGAGGGAGGAGATGAGAGAAGGGCGAGGCGAGAGAAGCAGAAAGCGCAAAAGCAACATCAGATTTCTTGGATGGTCCGAACTTCGTCGGTTTGTAACAGCACATAACACACGGCACAGGACACAGGGCACAAGGCACAGGGCGCATCACCTGAGCCAGATCCTCCGAGATGAGGATAGTGAGGAGGCGCAGGGCGAAGGGGCGGTGGCGGGAGGACGCGAGCAGGGGCAGCACCGTCTGCAGCCCGCGCTTCTGCCTGAGGACCTTCTGGTTCGCGGGGCTGTGCGTCATGAGCGCCAGCAGACACTCCCACGCTGCCTGACACGTGGTTTCCTCGTCAAAGAAATACGACTGCGCTGCACCCATGCCGCCGCCCGGGCCCATGCCGCCGATTGAATCGGACGAGAGACGCCGGCCCAAGGACGCGCGCATGGCATCCATACGGCTCTTCATGACACGGGACATGGGTGGCTGGTTGTGCGGGTGGGGATGGGAGTGCGAGTAGTCACCAGACTCAGCAGAGGCAGGGAGAGAGAGGTGAGAAGACGAGGAGGACGTTGACGAAGGTGACTGAGGGAAGGAACGCGAGGAGGCCGAGGAGGAGGGGGAGTCGGACCCTCCAGCACCTCCCTGCGTACCACCACCACCAGCAGCAGCGAGCGAAGCAGCAGCTGAGGACTGCGGCGTGAAGAAGACCGAGGGGACGGAGCCATCAGCCAGCACGGGCGTGGACTCGGGCGGCGAGCACTTCCTGAGGTCTGTGACTAGGATGTCCACGAGCCCCACGTCCCGCAGCACCTCCACAAAGTTCTGCTCGAAGGATAAGAGCTTGTTGAAGAATATGAGCGCGGAGCGCGAGAGAGACGTGGGTACGGGCTTCTGGAGCTCGATGCAGAGGGCTAGAAGCTCCTGCTCTGGAACTATGTTGAGGACTATCACTGTGTATTCTAGGACCTTGAGCAGCTGCTCCTGCAGCATGCGGGGGTACTGGCCTATGTTGCGGATGAGCATCTGGAACGTCTTGAGCTCCTGGATAACCGAGTAGTTCTCAGGGAAGAACGCGTAGAGGTTCTGCAGGCGCTCCAGCACCAGCAGCTGCACGGGCAGCTGGTTCGTCTCCAGGAAAACATTCTGCAGCACGAGCACTGCGTCGGGATCTCTAACCCGTAGAGACTCTAGCGACTTCACCTGCGCGCCTGGCAGGTTGGACAGGTCCTTCTGCCGGCCCGACGGGGACCGGAAGAAGGGGCGGGTGCCTGTGGTGTGCAGGCGGGGAGGGTCGCCACCAACAGTCTGTGCCATGGATACAAGAGCATCGAGTAGCTTTACTAGGGAAGACGGTACTGCTGGCTCTGCAGGCTTCACTGCCTCCTCTGGGCTCGACCCTCCTGGTTTTTCCCTCTCCTTCTCCCCACCATCCTCCCCTTCGCCCGTTTCCCCTTTCTCTGCGTCCTCCGGCGTGCCCTCCCTTGCAGCTTCATCTGGGTCTGGGCCTGAGCCAGGGAGAGGGGCTAGCGGGGACGGGGCGGGGGAGAGCGGGGGTTGCTGCAGGAGAGGGGAGGGCGAGTTGTGGAGCTGGGCTACGGGCGTGGGGTCAGCTGGTGTGTCAGCTGCGAAGGTGAGCTTCAGCACGAGCTGCCCCAGCCAGAAGTAGCCCCGCAGAGAGCGAAAGTCCTCCTTCAGCTTCACAGGGCCCGCGTCTGTAGGGGGGGAGAGGGGTATGGGGAGGGTGCGGGGGAGGAAAGAGAGAGTGTGAGTGTGAGTGGAGAGAAACAGAGTGTTGCAGTGGAGGTGGAAGTGTGTGAGAAGGATGGGAAGGCGTGTGGGCACATGCAAGGGCGCACGAGCAAGAGGGACGGCATGTATGAGACTGCCTGAGACATGCGATGTATGGCAGCAAACATGTTTGGTGCGTGGGATGGGACATGCCTGGGCGGAAGGCGAGGCGCAGGCACTCAATGAGGGCGTTGACGAGCAGCAGCACATGGTGCGAGTCCCCCGAATCCACCTCGTACTGTATCACCGCCTTGAGTAGCACCTCCAGCTGTGCACCACATGCATGCGATGCACACATGCACACGTGCACCCATGCACACGTGCACACGTGCACACATGCACACGTGCACACACGCACACGTGCACACATGCACCACGTGCACACATGCACCCATGCACCCGTGAATCCATGCATGCACACATGCACACATGCACCCATGCAAGTGTGCAAACATGAAGGCATCTATGCATACATCCACACATGCACACATGAATGCATGCATGCACACACACAGGCACACGCACACGTGCGCGTGCACACACACACACATGCACACCCATACGACAAGCACCCTTGTAAGTTAACTGCTTCCTAGTGGCTCCTGGATTGCCTAATCATTCTGTTGACATGCCTCAAAAACAGAAAGTTGGGAATACCAGGAAGCAGTGAAAGCGGGCGAATGACTTACAAGGTTGTGATTGTGGATATAGCGAGCCACACCACCAGTGTCGCTCGCCAGAGAGCGCTCCAGAATCTGACAGGACGAGCATGAGGAGCACGAGGAGCATGGGGAAGAAAAGGGAATGATGTGACAGGAATGTGGAGACGAGACGCCACAGGTTGAAGGACTGACCTGACCAGCACCAATGGAGCACTAACAAGCTGGTACCCAACCCACGGATAGGCGGGAATGGGTTTCTGCAGTGGAGTTCTCATGGGGACGAGAAGCGCAATGAGAGCCAAACCACTCCACACCACACCACACCACACCACACCACACCACGACCCCGCACTCCACGCCACACCAATTCAAAAACAAAAAAGGAAAAGAATTTGTAGGAATCACGCACCTCGGCTGCTGCGTTGCGCAGCTTGGGGTCGAGGTCGAGGTTGGCAGCAGCGGCGCCAGCAGCAGCGCCCGAGTAGTCGCCCATGTAGCTGAAGGAGGGCGAGAACAGCCCCGCTGCCGCGCGGAACATCTTCTTGAGCGAGTCGTCCTCTATCAGACTCACCGCCGCCCCGCTGTGCACCGCCAGCCCCTTCATCAGCTCTATCACGCGGTCCTGGTGTCGCAGATATGGAGAGCCGCCCAGGGAGATTTGTGTGGGTGTTGGGAAAGGCGTGGGTTGTGAGAGAGGCGTGGGTGGGGAATGACACGTATGGGAGAGGCGTAGGGTATGGGAGAGAGAGAGATGATTTACGAGAATGTGTGGATGTAGGGTGATGAGGGGAGTGGAGGGGAGGGAAGGGAATACAGGTTGTATGCAGGCGAATCCAAACAACAGAAATGACTGCGCACTCTTTATTGCTTCGTGATTGTCTCCTGACACCTATACGGTTGTATTATCTCGGCACTGTGTAGTGTACTCGATATTATCACCGTTTAACCCCATTGCCACACACATCAAAAGACACGCCGCTTCATTCCCGCGTTGATCGCCTAACATATCCCCTTCCCGAGCCCCCTCAGCGAAACCGCAAACCAACACACCTCGACTTGCGTGCCACGAGGGTCAAGCGGCGGGTCGTCGTCTCCTAGGTCGTCGGCGCCATTGAAGGACGCGGAGTCGTCGTCCGGCACACAGAACTCCGTGAATATGGACACCAGCATCGACAGCAGCCCCGCATCCAACAGCCCCTGCACCTCCAACGGCTGGTGGGAGGCGGACGGGGAAAGAGGGGGGATGGGGGGAGGGGGGAAGGGGGGGGATGGGGGGAGGGGCAAAGAAGGGGGATGGTGGAAGGGCGAAGAGGTTGGATGGGGGAGATGGGAAGAGGGCGAAAAGGGGTTGCGTCGGGAGGATGGAGGAAACGCGCGAATTGATGGATTGATGGTAGGGGTGGACAGGGAGAGGGGTTGAAAGGAGTGGAGGACGGACGAGAGGGTGTCATGGCAGGAGGGTATCAATCAAGGTGGATGGACGGGAGGACAGTATGGGACGGTGTTGTTGTGGGGCAGAGAAGAGGGCATTCCCAGAGAAGGATCGAGGGCAGTTTGGTGGAAAGGAGGTACGAAGGCGTACCGGTGAGACGAGATGCTCAAGGCTTCTGAACAGCACCGCGCCCGAGAGCTTGACATCCTCCTGTGCGCGCAGAGCAGAGACGAACGGGGAGGGAGAGAGAGAGAACCAGCGCGGAAAATGGAATGAGTGAGCGGAACGGACGCACGGCAGCAACACTTTAAGGTTAAGGGGCACGTATTGCGTTCTCGTTCGCGTGCGCGTGCAACGCACCTGGTCGTCGTAAGAGAGCAGCTCTATGATCTCCTTGCGCGGGAAGAAGCCCTTGGCGCCGCGCGCTCGACGGCGCGTGTTGATTTCCTCGCAGAACAGCCGCGCCACCACGAACTGGAACGGCCGCACGTCCACAAGACTGCCGCGCGCGCAACACAGGGCGCGATGATGGATGGAAATTTGGGGCGCGCAGGTGGGTTGGGTGAGGGAGGGTTGGGGAGAAAGGTAGCGGGGAAGAGGGAGAGAGGGGAAGTAAAATAACGACTGTCACCGAGAGGAGCCGTTCAGCAACACGCTGGGTAATGAAAAACGAGAGTAATCGACACCAGGCGCAAGGGCGAGGCGGGCCGAGGGGAGGGGCGGGGGGGCGCGAGGCGAGGAAACGCGGGTCGCGCGTGCGGTGCGGTGCAGTTATACTACTCACTAGTGGACGATCTCCGCGACGTGGTTCTTGTCGTCGAGCAGCTTGCAGAAGAGCCGGAGAGCCATCACCAAGGCAGTCATGCGCTCCTGTAAGTAACCACGGCGCGCATCACGCGGAGAAACACCAACAACACAACAGCTTGATAGGCGCTCATTCCCCGACCGCTCAGCGCGACAATGTAATTCGACTCCGAAAAATGCCAACGAAGGGAGGAGCGGGCAGTTGAAGGGGAAACGGAGAGAGGGGGAGAAACGAGGAGAAAGCTTACCCCTTCGGAGTGCGAGCTCCTGAACATCTCCCATAGCCTTCTGAAGTCCGCGGCCCATTGCTCCTGCCTGCGACGTGAAACCGGAAACGACGTCAGCCAGACGGACCAGCAACCGGGAGCGCTGAATCAAATTCGACACCGGGCAAACCCTAATGCGGATTTCTGGCAGCGCTCGGATGATACGGCCACATCTTTAATCACGCCGGCGCCCGTAGCGCCGAACTAAAGCCGACGTGCGCTTCGCTGCACTGGCACTAGGTTTCGGGAGGCGGGCGTCGCAAGGCTAAAACACCCATCCAACGAACACGGACTCTAGTTAAGAACGTGAGGCTTCGGAAGGCAGACGAGACCTAGCCTGACACGCTGATGGATAAAGAGACGCTCAAGAAGGGTGAAGACAAAAGACATATGGGAGATTTTAACCTACTCTTTGGTCAGTTCTTCTGGGCCGCCCAGCGAATCCCTACGTGTGGCTGTATCCACCCAGTCCCGTGCCGCCGATATGGCACTCGCCCAGCCTTGCATTGCGAACGCCTACCCTACGCCAGTTCGCCTTTCTCTTTATCCCAGCGCTACTTCCTCTCTGCTCCTAAGGGCAGATCGCAGCGCCGGGCCAGTGAGCGAGAGACGCCAGATGAGCTGGGCTGATATGCAGTGCAGCTGCTGGCTTTCACTGGTGAGAGCTGGGCGGGCGATATATCTGCGAAACCGTCGGGAGGAGTAGGTGGAACATCACGGAAGAGATTGAAGAGTAGATCGGAAATGCAGGAGCGACTCTAATGGACGTCTGCGATAGGGTAGCCTCGATTCGTAGATATTGCAGTTCAAACAGGTTCGATATGTCATTCAGACCCTTGGAAAACTGAAATGATTGCCGCGCTCATTAAAACTTTCCCAAGCGTTTCGTCGTTTTTCAAGACAAACAGCGCCGCCTATGTCAGAAACAGAATCAGATAAAAATGGAATCAGGGTGCGACCGCTGAAAGTACCAGACGAGAAAGGCGGTGCATGAGAAAAAACAATGGCTCAAGCTCAGTCATGCATCCCGGATTCAGAGTGAACGACAGGTAACGGAACCGAATGCAAGGAGGAGCATTTTGTATTGACTCTAAATCGAGCTGACGAACGAGCGAGAGAAGACGGAGAGGGACACGATGACGACTTGGGAACAAGGGGTAAGGGGGGAAACGGGGACGGGGTGGGGGGAGGGAGGGGGGAAGATGAGAGATAACGGGAGAAACGGCGACCAGAGACGAATGCAGGTGAACGGAGACGATGAATGTGTGTATGCGAAGTGGGAGGAGAGGCACATTGAAGCATCACACGCAAAAGAAGCAAGAAATGAGCAAGCTGCACGCCAGCAGTTCATTCGATGAGTCTCATGCTGATGCGCTTAGTTACCTTGTTCACTGGTACAACGAGCGAGTCCGTCCGCACATAAATACTATCTAAGTCACGAGGCTAGTCGTAATCGAAGAACTGGCCTTCACTAGGAACTGTAGCTGAAACGGACCAGGACATATCAACCTCTCTAAATCAGAAATTGCCTCTCATACGCCCATGTGGCGGAGACAAATGTTGCCTCCCACAGATCTCGTGAAACATTGCAAGCTTCCATCCACATAGCCTTTTCCACTCGCTACTGTATTACAGTGAACATGCAGGTCCTGATTCAGGGACCAAGGAACTGCTTCGTTTGAGAGGGGAGGGTAGGAGGAGAGGAGGGGGGAGGGGATAGGGACTCGAGGACTGCTCGAGAGGGAGGCTGACCTGACCTGCCCTGACCTGACCTGCCCAGGATCACGTGGGAGAATACAAGAGGCACGGCAATCTCAAGGTGAGGGGGAGTGAAATGGAGCGGGAGGGACCCTGGCTTGGGCCCTGGAGACAATCAATGAACTGCCCAGTCAGCGCACGGCCACGCTGGCGCTTTCTGTGCTCTACTGTACCACTCCCGGTCACTTCTGAAACTTTTCGCACAGGTCGAGTCAGATCGGATGATGCAGAGTGCTGGATCGAACGGCGGACATGATACTGTAGGAAGAACCAGATTGGCTAAGCGGCGACAGGGGCGTGATGAGATGCGCACCAGTTGAGATTGTCGACAACATCCGCCAAACTCGGCCCGATTTCATGAAAGCTGCATCACCGAAATTATCTGACATGTGGGCAAGCTGATCAGGTTACATTATATTTCCCATATATTCATTTTTATCCACCTGTGCTGTAATAAATTTTGTACATAATGTAATATATAGTTTTAAATGTTGTCTCTTTGCACCATGTCAGGACTCTAGGCTAGGTTATCATACACAAGGCTGTATTACCTCTAGCCGACTGTATACGAGTGATGGCAAGTGGAGCTTGGTATAGGTTTGTGCAGGCAAGAGATGGAGGTAAGTCTTCTTGTCTAGGAGTAGGTGGACAAATTCCGTAATTTTATACAGCTTGCTCACAATGAGCAGTTGTAGGCTCTGTCCATCCCATAAGTTGCAATACACAACATCAGGACTAAGGTAACGTTCCTGTGGAGACACTTCTGTCTCAATCCCTTTTTTTCTGAGTCGCGTCTACACATTTTTGCAATCTCGCGTCACAAAAAATGAGTGTATCACGAAACTGTGCGAGCAGGCAAAATTTACAGCTGTGCTCATTTGATTGGATTTCAAACTTGACTGTACACCTGTTTCTTCAATTGTCTGGTTCGGGTGGGGTTTTGACGAGCGGAACCTTTTTCCCGCGCGAGATTTTTACTGTGGGATGTCCAGGTGCATTGACATTTCGAACCGCGTACAGAGTTGTTGACAGTGACGGGTCAGTATGCAACTCGTCCGCGACATCAGCGCGTTTCACGCTGACAAATGAAAAATACAGTAAAAGTCGCACAAGGGCGACACGCATTTGTGACATTGTACTTTTTACCGTAAGCTGTTTTTACGCGTCACAAAAGGATTGAGACACAAGTGTCTCCACAGGAACGTTCCCTAAGAAATAAATCTGTCTTCGTATCTACCATCGGACAGTCTGCAAACATCACGCATGCCAAGAATAGAGTATCTGTTGTTTGCGATGCCATCATATACCACGTCCCTCAGTGCCCTGTGAAGCAATGAGTTGGAGAGAGGAATGGAATGGAGGTGAGTCAGGCAGAATAAATCATGAAAACAGCCACACCTAAGACTGGAAAAAAACGGGAAACATGCAAATAGCTGCATGGAGGACATTTACAGGTTCAAGTCATACTTGGGTGCAAGTGAGGCTAGGAAGGCCAATGGTGGGTATGGGAGGTCAAGAAGGCGAGCTATCCTCAACACTGCGTCTGATTTTATGTACGCCCTGGTGTATCGGAGGTGAGAGGATGGATGGGTAGTGGACACAGACGGAAGAGGCAGACAATGTAAGTGATGGGGGAAGTGCCTAGCAAGCAGTACGACGAAGCAGCAATCACTCTGTGTTGTCTGGGAAGAAACACAGCAGTCACGGTTGCAACTCACCCATCCTTCTCGACCAGCACTATGCTGCTGATGTCATCTGGAGAACGTCCGGAACGAGCCAGCAATGCACGCCCAGCCTCACTCTGCAATGCTGCGAACCGGAGACGGCTGTAACGGAAACAAAAGATGGGTTGGAGTGACGAAACATGAGGCAGGTATAGTTGGTTGAAGGGAGGGACCGAGCTGGGGCAGAAGAAACTACTTATCAAACGTCACATTTATTTAGCAGAGGACGAAGTGCCTGTCAGCTCAAGAGGAGCATGGCCGTTAGAAGCTGACCATGGATCATAACCTGCCACTGTTATCCATGCACTCACCCCTGAGGATCTGCATCAAGGGCGAAATTGACACCGCCATTGCACATGTTGCAAACACCTGCTCAAGCAAGGGACCACGAAAACGTGCGAGCGGGAATAAGGCAGGGCGTGGCACGGTGAGTTTGATGAATGCTTGCACTTTACAGCAGAGGGAAGGCGGCACGTGGCGTGCAACAGGCAGAGTTGTTAAGCTGCTAGAGAAGCGCGATCAATGACACGTCACGCCTTGGTACCCGTGGCTGAAGCAAATCAGTCCTGAGTGTTACAACTATGTCACTTGAACACCTCGCTGTGTAGAGGAAGAGCTATGTAAGTGGGGAACCCAAGTACCGTCATAAAGCACGATGGGTCGGTCGTCCGTCGCGAAATGATCGACCACGACCTTATTTGTTGATGCTTCGACACTTCCGGCTGCAGCGGAAAGAGCGGTAACTCGCGAACAGTGGAATTTGATGCCACGCGGCGATGGGCTGGCGGCGTGCAGGGCAAGGGGATTGCTGGAGCGTGGAACGAGTGGAGTCGAGGCTGGACAACGACGACACGAGGAATCTCTAGAATTCGAGGCAGCTATGAACACGGATTCATGTAGAGGCGCGAAGGGGCGAAGAGAACTAATATGCGCGAGAGCCATTGGTGAAAGGCAATCTGCGTCTATGGTGCTTTTGCCTCAGAAGCACGAAGAACGAAGGCAACACAAGAATGATTCTGCAGAATGAGAATTGCAGGTTTCCCGCTCGTGTTCATTCTGGTGGGAAATGGAAGTTCCTTCCCGCAAGGACGCGTCTTACGAAAACGAAAACGGACTGAGTTGAAGTTACCTTTTGTCGTGAGGCGTACCGTCCAATCGTGTGCCGTTCTAGCGAACACTTGAGTGATCAAGAACATGCCGCGTCGACACGATTTGGGGCTGCGAGTGCTCTTGCCTCGTTTGTAGCAAACCCGGTTGCGAAATTGCTAGCAAAAGTGGTGCACTTTTGTAATGTCGCCAGTGGATGCATACGAACACATAACAACCTTGTGCATATACGGAAGAATCCCGCGAGGCTTGGGGCTGAGGGATCGCACCAGAACCGACAAGTCGCGGTCGGGTCTACGTGTCACAAGGAAATCTCAGAGCATGGTTACTGGTTGGCCTCACCGTACCGGAAACTTCTGGTAACTTGTTAAAACTTACCGCACCGTTTCCAAATCCTGACTTTGGCGCGGGAGTTAGTGTGATCCCCGCCAACTTGTACCAGGTCCTCCAGCCTCGTGTCAAAGACGCGGGCCAATCTCCAGCTCACGGCGCGCCGAATCCACGCTCCTCCACTGCGCTCGCTTCACATATCACTCGCGACTGCCTTGAATGGAAGTCATTTCGCTCAGCTGTCAGGAGAACTTCATTGCTTTTTTTGAAGCTTGCACTCCCGTTCAGTGGATCTGGGTCGCTGTGCTGTTCGTCCCGCCTCGTCTCCCCTGAACCCTTGTGCAGCACCCGTGCCTCCTTGTCTCAGCAGCCGAATTTCAAGACCGTGCGACCTTTCCGTAGGGCCTATCCCCTCATTTTTTCTCTTGCCAGTGCCCCGGCGCAACAATGGCCGCACGTACTCTCGCGATGTCGACCGTCACGGCGTTGTCTGGATCTTTTGCTTCCAGGTCATCGGATCTGTCCCAAAGCCACCAGTTTCGGCCTCTGCCTCAGTCCTTCACATCCTCTTCCGTGTCGCTCAGAGGCAAGGCGGCCGCGACCCCGGTGACGTGTACAGCGACCGCGCCTGACACCAAGGCGGCGGCTGCCACGTCGGACGAGAGCCGCGTGTATAACTTCTCCGCTGGACCCGCAACGCTGCCGCGCAACGTGCTGGAGAAGGCTCAGGCAGAGCTCGTCGACTGGAATGGCAGGTGAGTGGTTCAAGTGAAAATTCACGTTATGCCGTCGCCTTCCACTGTTCAAGATTCACTGCACCTAGAAATAGAGGATCTGCTTGAATTGATGGCCGAGCTTCACTCCGTTCTCACTCGCAAGGCATGGCGTAGTCTCTCAGCGTTCTTGCAAAACAGTATCTTGCCGAAACGAGAAAAAAGATCACCCTTTTCTTTTACGGAATCTCATGCTACCACAGCAAAAATCTCGTGTTCACCCCTCCTCCACCCTCCGCTCATGATCCGCCCTCCGCTCATGATCCGCCTTGCGCTTATACTCCGCACCCCTCCTTCTTCCCCCCACTCCCCGCTCCTCCCCCCATTTCAGCGGCATGAGCGTGATGGAGATGAGTCACCGCGGCAAGGAGTACCTGTCCATCATCCGCAAGGCGGAGGCGGATCTGCGCGCGCTGCTCGCCATCCCCGACTCCTACGCCGTGCTCTTCCTGCAGGGCGGCGCCTCCTCGCAGTTCTCCGCCATCCCGCTCAACCTCTGCGCGCCCGACGACACCGCGGACTACGTCGTCACGGGCTCCTGGGGCGACAAGGCGTACAAGGAGGCGGGGAAATACTGCAAGACAAATCTCGCCGCTACGGGAAAGCCCGGGAAGTACACGGACATTCCGCCGCCTTCCGAATGGAAGCTGACCAAGGGCGCTAAGTACGTGCATATCTGCTCCAACGAGACGATCCAGGGGGTGGAGTTTAAGGGGTATGACGAGGTGGTGGCGGCGATTAAGGAGGGGTGCGGCGAGGACACGGTGTTGGTAGCGGACATGTCGTCGCACTTCTGTTCCTGCCCCGTGGACGTGTCCAAGTTCGGCGTGATCTACGCGGGCGCGCAGAAGAACGTGGGGCCGTCCGGCACGACGGTTGTGATTATAAGGAAGGATCTGCTGGGCCACGCGCAGCCGTCGACGCCCGTGATGATGGACTACGCGATTCACGCGGAGAACGAGTCCATGTACAACACGCCGCCGTGCTACCCCATCTACATGTGCGGCCTCGTGTTCGCGGATCTGCTGGAGCAGGGCGGGCTGGCGGGCGTGCAGAAGCGCAACGAGGACAAGGCGGCGCTGCTCTACGATGTGAGTGGGGCTTCTGGAAGGTGCTGGTGTTGTTGAATAGTACTGCCTTGCCAAGTTCCCAGCTCTGTGTTTGACAGCCCTATGTCTGCCAAATCTGTGTCAATCGCGCCAGCAGTAATAACAGCTGAGCTTTGCATCATTGCCACTCCGTGCTTGTCTTGCTGTCTTTTCCCATTCCCTGGCCATTCGGCCGCTGCTTCCCTGCCCCCATCCGTACCCTAAACCCTGAACCCGCTTCCCGTTCTTCCTTCCTCTCCCCCCACCCATCCCCTTCCTCCCTCCCGCATCCTCTATCGCTCCCCTTCGTCCCCCATCCTCAACCTTCTTCACACCCACCCCACCCCTCCGTATTCGCAGGCCATTGACAGCAGCAACGGGTTCTTCAAGTGCCCGGTAGCCCCAGCAGTGCGGTCACTGATGAACGTGCCCTTCACCATGGCCACGCCAGAGCTGGAGGCAGAGTTCCTCAAGGCCGCCGCCGCGCAGCACATGGTGCAGCTCAAGGGCCACCGCAGCGTGGGCGGCGTGCGTGCGTCCATCTACAACGCCATGCCGCGTGCTGGCGTGGAGAAGCTGGTCAAGCTCATGAAGGACTTCCAGGCTGCTCACTAGATGCATGGGTTGCTGTGCTGCTAGGTGCTGTAGCCTTTTGTAACCCTAACTTGTTGGTTTTTGTACGGGATTCAACGTACTACAATATAGTAGATGGACATGCGGAAATCCCTCATCCGTCCTGCGTCCTGGACCCTGCTCCTGCTTATCTATTCTCCGTCGCACGACCTAGATCTGTTTTTCAGAAACTGGATCATTCATATCGAAGTTGTGATTTCGTGATCTTCATATTCATGGATTCGGTAACTCCTGTTGAGAATACTACGTCCAGGGGTCGCTCCACTTGGCTTTAGCTCTACCAGCTACGTGCGGACTTTTGAAGGCTACGGCCACTAAGAGACTCAGCTGATAAGAGAGTATAGAAAGCTAGAAACCGAGCTGTGTCAGAAAGACGGTGATGGTCAGAAAGAAGGGTCAAGTTGTGCTTGAACCGTTGTGCATGTTAGGGGACAGCAGCAGCTTCTCATACTATTAAGTCTGATAGCGTTTTCTTCATGCGCTCCACCGTGCTCTTTGGGCCCTGCACCTCCTTGTTCACCACGTTTTTGGATGCCTCGTTCGTGATCGAGCGCACCCGCATGGCATAGCTGCCCACACACAAAAGGAGATTTGAGGAGAGAAGGGGAGAGAGGAGAGGGAGGGCGAGGAGTGAGGGGTGGGAAGGAATGGGGGAAGTCAGCGAAACACACACACCAAGTACATCCCCCCCTCATCTCGAACCCCCCAACCCCCTCATCCCCCCCCAACCTCCAGAGACTCACTCGAGCGAGTCGGCAGTCTCGTCGAGACTACCACTTGCCGGGGAGATGTTTACGAACATGATGGTCTTGGCGTTCCCTCCCACCGAGTCGCTCATGAGATAGGTGAGATCTTCGTCGCGGTACGGGGTGTGTTCGCTATTTTGAGCCTGCGCAGCGAAGACGCGAGCCAGGGCAGACAACGACCTGTTGTTGTACTTGGCTTCCTCCTTCTGCTTTCCCTCTGACCCCGACTTCTCCAGCCTCTCCGACCCCGCCAAGTCCACAAAGGAGAGCTGCAGGGAGACGGGGGGAGATGGGGGGGAAGCGGGGTAAGCACGTGTTTGGGTAGGGCAGATGGGCGAGTGTTCACAGTAATAGAATATATCACACATTCATGTGCGCTGCCGTTCACACACCCACGCCACACACACCCCCAGCACACACCTTTCCACAGCTCACGATCTCAGTCTGCAGGTCCGTGGTCTCAACTATGATGGAGAGCACAAGGTGCGACCTTGAGCTCTGCGCGTTCATATGTGTGCCCGCCACTACCCGCCTCTCCATGCCCTCCTGCACCACTTCCCGCAGGCGCGGCAGCTTGTCCACCTCGATGAGTGTGGCGTTCTCCACCACCATCATGCCATGGGGAGGGGGGGGTTAAGAACAGCAAACGGATATGCACCGCACAACGTACATCGCGCCTGAGACCAGTGCACAGCAGCAATGCCTTCAATGGCTGGGTACGTGCGAGCTATTACCATGGGGCTGAGAAGAATCCAGTTTTGCTCTCTACACTTGCCTGCTTCATACGACAAACGACAAACCTTTTCGTCCTTCTTAATCTTCAGCGTCTTTTTTCCGGCAGTCTTGGGCAGCAGCAGGTCGATGATCTTGTCCATGTAGAGCTCGACCATGTACACCTGGATGACGGGGGCGAGAGCGAGGGATCAAGAGAGAGCAATCGCAATGAGAGTGAGAGTGAGAGCGAGAGCGAGAGCGAGAGTGAACTTGAGCAACTGAGGGAACATCTCCTGCATGGCGCGCGGCATGAATAGCCCCCTTCAACCAGTGCTGGCGATGGTGGTGCAGGCGAGCAGGCAGGGCGGGGATGCGGTGCTGGCAGACATAGTGCGCATGGTGGAGGAGGCTCAGGGCAGACAGGCACCCGTACAGCGATTCGCCGACCAGGTGAGTGAGGACTGCTGATGGGGTGAGGATATAAGAGATACCAGGTGGGCTGGCAGGGGCAGCACCAGGGGAGGTGAGCAGGCAGGGGAAGCAGCAGCGGGGCTTGAGAGCAGGCAGGTGCAGCGGTTTTCTGATCAGATGAGGATTCTCTGATGAGGTGATGGGAGTAGCAGGTCCTGATGTGATTTTCTGGTCAGAATAGTCAACCAGATGAGGCGAGAAGCTGTCGTGATGCCCAGTCCATCAAGCAAGCAAGCGAGCCACCGTGCCCACCTGCAGCTTGTAGGTCATGCGCTTTGGCTCCTTATCGAGCCTGCGGAAGAGCTCCTCCATGGCGCGTGGCGTGAGCCCGGGGTCGTCATCGTCGCCGTAGATGGTGTGCGTCTTTCCGCTTCCCGTCTGCCCGTACGAGAAGACGCACACGTTGAATCCGTCGATGGCCGACTGGGTCAGGTGCTGCAAAGAGGGGGGAAGGGGGCGGCAGAGGGGGGGGGGTAGGGGGGGTACGGGGCCACGGCATGGCCCATAGCGTGAGAACGTGGGCGCTGGATGAAAGAGGACAGGGGGCAACACACATAAAACGGGTGTGTCTTCTATCTACTGCCACCTTTCAAGTGCTGTGAATTGAATCATCCCTAAGTAGGAAACACAGCAAGTTGCTTACCCGTATGTCTTTAAACACAGTCTCCTGAGTGGCGGTATGGTAAAAAAACCGGTCGAACTGGAACTCCTTGGGCTTCTCCCCGTCCTTGGAGGGGGGGAGCAGGAGCGTGTACTCGTCCAACATCTCCACCACCATTTTCTGCCCCTCGCCCTGCTCCCTGCCATTCAGCGGCCGACTCCGCGCGTTCACTCGGATCTTCCCATACATGTCTGCATGTGCACAGCGGGAGGGAGAGGGAGAGGGGAGGGAGACGGGGATCCTTCTCAGGGCACCGTACAGCCCCAACAGGTCGCTCCCAGCTGATCAGCGGCCGCCACCATGCTCAAGCAAAGGGAGGAGAGTGGGGGCAGGGAAGGGGGGAGGAAGGGCGTGCAGGGCACCATACAACTCCGAGAGGTCGCTCTCTTCTGCTCAGCAGCGCCACCACTCGCAAATCTTGCCCTTCACGTCTGGGCGCAGGGGGAGGGGGGGTTAGGGGTGGGGAGGGGGGAGTTATGGGTATGGGGAGGGGAGAGTTATGTTAGTGCAAGCAGCCCACTACCGTGCATCCACAATCTCGTCATCACTCAGCCCACGCCCAAGAATACGCCAAGCCACGCCCAAGCAGCGGCCAACTTACTAAAGGCGGCTGAGTGCCCCAATAACCAGTCCACTAACCCTGGATCTTGTTGTAGTAGCGCTTGCGCAGCACAGCCTCCTCTTTATACGCCTTCTCCAGCTCCTCTATCCGCTTGCGCTGCTGCTGTACCACCTCCACATGCTCCACTAGCTTCCGCTCCATCTCCTGTGCAACAGGTGCGGGAAGACGAATCAAAACCAGGACTGTGCTCCGACTTCGCCTCTTTCTCCCTCGCACCTCATACACTACACACACAATAAACACGGTCGCACACAGCATGCACACATGTCGAGACTCGCCTCCATCTCCCTCAGCTCCTCCAGCTCCTTGAAATGCTCCTCCAGGTGCTCCCACTGCACTTCTCCCTTCGCCCAAGCTCCCATGCGCAGCCTTTGCATCCCTGCCCAGCCCCTTGTGTACTCACCTCCCTCGTCTCCTTCACCTCCTCCCTCATATGGGCCACTGCCGCCCGGTGCTCCTTCAATTGCTGCTCGGTGTCCGCCAGCTTGGCTGCCAGCTCACCCAGCTCAGCAGACGAGCGCTGCTCCAACGCCGATCCCGCAGGCACAACAAAACGCGCCGACGCTTGTTGCTGCGCTCTTTCCCGAGCCAAGCGGCGAGTGCGGGCATAATTGACGTGTGCCTTGATGGCACCGCATATTTCCTCGCTCTTAGTAGTCTCGAACTGGTAGAAGTGCGGTGATTCCGCCTCGCCCATCTTGAATAGCAGCGCGGTGGGGCTGGTGCCAATTTGTAAAAAGCTATGCCACTTCACTGTGTAGAGATATTTTTCTGGGTCTGTCCTGAAAAAGTGCACCTGTGTGCAACATCCGACCAAAAGCTCATGAGGTTAAAGATTGTGAGGCAGTCTTGTAGCAAAAGCAGAAACCGTTGGCGGTTAAGCGGGTGACTTACCCCGCGCTCGTTGATGGCGATGGTCACTCGCTCCGGCAGCAATTCCATGGGGTCCGCAACGAGCCTCACGTGGAAGAAAACAGGCCCGCCGTAGTTCAGCCTGTCACTACTACTAGTAGCACCCCCACCACCACTGGCACCACCATCGGCAGCAGCAGCAGCAACGGCAGCATCACCAGCGAGCACTTGACTCGCTGAAATGGTGGAGCATTTAGGAAACGCAAGTTGGCTCGCAGCAGCATCCAGCAGACTGTTTTGTGCATTCGAAATCTCCTGCATGACATGCCTTCCGCCATGGTTCGCGGCTTTCATCCGAGATCGCAAGTTACGGGGAGTCGCGGGTCTAGTCCCTGACTTCGACGAACTCGACACGACCATCCTGGAAAGCTGCGACCAGAAAAAACTCGACCGCTTTATAATGCGATTCTTCAAAGGTGATTAAGGCGACGAATGCATGGTAAATGGGTAATATTTAGTTCAGGGTCGCCTGCTATCTTGAAACGGCTTATCTAGTATCCGTACTGCGACTAATAACCGGCGCGTACTAAGGTTTTTAATCCCTCCTCCGTCCTGCGTCCTGGTCCTGCTTATCTATTCTCCGTCGTCCGACCTAGATCTGTTTTTCGAAAACTGGATCATTCATATAGAAGCTGCGATTCTGTAATCTTTATATGTAAGTAGAAAATCAAGGATTCGGTAACTCCTGCAGAAAATACTACGTCCAGGGGACGCTCCACTCGGCTTTAGCTCTACCAGCTACAGGCGGACTATTGAAGGCAATGGCCACTATGAGACTCAGCTGATAAGAGAGTATAGTAAGCTAGAACCGAGCTGTGTCAGGCTGGCAACCCAACTTCTTGTGAAGTCTGAAGTCTCGGATTGGCGGCAAGGCGGCAAGGTGGCAAGGGGGGCAGTTGAAGGTGGGTTTACTTTCGCTGCAGTCACTGTGTTTTTTGTCTCAAGTCCAGCATAATAGAACAGTGTTTGCAACATCACTTTCAATACAAGACACATTATAACTCATCACTAAACATTGACTTGATACTTGTACAAAAATGTTCTTGAGTTCCGCATATTTAAGGTCAATGATCCTCCGTTTTAATGACCCTCAACTCCAATTTTTAATTAGTTGACACTAAAACCATTTATAAGGTGCCTCTAAGTCGAAACACGAAAAGATATTTGCAATCATCTCACAAGGATCGTTGGTGTACCACGCTTGAGGCAGGCACTGATCCGAATCCGTTGCAATGCTCATCCCCTTCAGCACACAGCGAGGCTCTGGTCTGAATTAAAGCAGCGCTGCCCTGCTCTGCTCTCACTGACACCCGCACCACCCTCCCGCCAGATCTGCCACCACCAAGCCATTCATTCTCATCCTACTTTCGCCTCTTACATCCGCTGCGCTTCGGCCCGCCGCGAAAATTACCCCTTCGAGCCACCTCCTTTCGTGCTCTTCCAACCCTCACGGCAGCTTAGTGACCCCTCAAGGAAAATCTGAAATTAGTTGGCAGCGTTTGGGGTCAGTAGGCAACCCACGTCACTCACTTCGGCCCCCTGGTTTGATTTCGACCGGCCATGTGGCATAGGCGCTGCTGATTCGGACGATCCCGTTCGATTTTTCACATTTTCGCGCTAAAAAATTCCACGTAACGGCCTTCTACGCTACGCACCCCGGGAGGGGGCCAACCCAAGTTGGGCATGCGAACGCAACTCTCGCTTGCGCCTTGCTACGATCCCACCCAAACTGATTCCTCCACCTATTCCTATATATTCGAGGGGCCCATGTTCAAATACACATACTAGAGTCTTTCCGGCCTGGTTCTTGCGAGAAGAAAAGTTCGGCGCTTACGATTTCGGCCGTTTTTGCCGCCAAATGCCTAGAAAGCGCGTGAATCCTTATAGGCGTAGGGAAAAGCATTCAACAACCTGAATGTTATTGCATATTCGAGTGGCCCATGTTCAAATACACATATTAGAGCCTTTTCGGCTTGGTTCTTGCGCAAAGAAAAGTTCGGCGCCTACAATTTCGGCCGTTTTTTACGCCAAGTGCCTAAAAAGCTCGTAAATCACTTTAAGCGTAGGGAAAAGCAATCAACTACCTGAATCTCATTGGATATTCAAATGGCCCATGTTCAAATACACATACTAGAGCCTTTTCGGCTTGGTTCTTGCGAGAAGAAAAGTTCGGCGCCTACGATTTCGGCTGTTTTTGCCGCCAAGTGCCTAGAAAGCGAGTGAATCCTTTTAGGCGTATGGAACAGCATTCAAAAACTTAAATTTTATTGCATATTAGAGTGGCCCATGTTTAGATACACTTATTAGAGCTTTTCCTGCCTGGTTCTTGCGCGAAGAAAAGTTCGGCGCTTACGATTTCGGCCGTTTTTGCCGCCAAGTGCCTAGAAAGCGCGTGAATCTCTATAGGCGTAGGGAAAACCATTCAACAACATGAATTTTAATGCATATTCAAGTGGCCCATGTTCAAATACACATACTACAGCCTTTTCGGCTTGGTTCTTGCGAGAAGAAAAGTTCGGCGCCTACGATTTCGACCGTTTTTGCCGCCAAGTGCCTAGAAAGCGCGTGAAGCTCTATAGACGTAAGGAAAAGTATTCAACAACCTGAATTTTATTGCATATTCGAGTGGCCCATGTTCAAATACACATACTAGAGCCTGGTTCTTGCGAGAAGAAAAGTTCGGCGCTTACGATTTCGGCCGTTTTTTGCCGCCAAGTGCCTAGAAAGCGCGTGCATCACTATAGGCGTAGGGAAAAGCATTCAACAACCTGAGTTTATTGCATATTCGAGGACCCATGTTCAAATATACATACTAAAGCTTTTCCGGCCTGGTTCTTGCGCGAAGAAAAGTTCGGCGCTTACGATTTCGGCCGTTTTTGCCGTCAAGTGCCTAGAAAGCGCGTGAATCTCTATAGGCGTAGGGAAAAGCATTCAACAACCCAAATTTCTTGCATATTCCAGTGACCCATGTTGAGATTCACATATTAGAGCTTTTCCGGCCTGGTTCTTGCGAGAAGAAAAGTTCGGCGCTTACGATTTCGGCCGTTTTTTGCCGCCAAGTGCCTAGAAAGCGCGTGAAGCTCTATAGGCGTAAGGAAAGGCATTCAAGAACCTGAATTTTATTGCATATTCGTGTCTCCCATGTTCAAATACACATACTAGAGCCTTTTCGGCTTGGTTCTTGCGAGAAGAAAAGTTCGGCGCTTACGATTTCGGCCGTTTTTTGCCGCCAAGTGCCTAGAAAGCGCGCGGATCTCTATAGGCGTAGGGAAAAGCATTCAAAAACCTGATTTTTATTGCATATTCGAGTGGCCCATGTTCAAATACACATACTAGAGCCTTTTCGGCTTGGTTCTTGCGAGAAGAAAAGTTCGGCGCTTACGATTTCGGCCGTTTTTGCCGCCAAGTGCCTAGAAAGCGCGTGAATCTCTATAGGCGTAGGGAAAAGCATTCAACAACCTGAATGTTATTGCATATTCGAGTGGCCCATGTTCAAATACACATACTAGAGCCTTTTTGGCTTGGTTCTTGCGAGAAGAAAAGTTCGGCGCCTACGATTTCGGCTGTTTTTGCCGCCAAGTGCCTAGAAAGCGCGTGAATCTCTATAGGCGTAGGGAAAAGCATTCAACAACCTGAATTTCATTGCATATTCAAGTGGCCCATGTTCAGATACACATACTAGAGCTTTTCCGGCCTGGTTCTTGCGCGAAGAAAAGTTCGGCGCTTACGATTTCGGCCGTTTTTTGCCGCCAAGTGCCTAGAAAGCGCGTGAATCTCTATAGGCGTAGGGAAAAGCATTCAACAACCTGAATTTTATTGCATATTCGAGTGGCCCATGTTTAAATACACATACTAGAGCCTTTTTGGCTTGGTTCTTGCGAGAAGAAAAGTTCGGCGCTTACGATTTCGGCCGTTTTTGCCGCCAAGTGCCTAGAAAGCGTGTGAATCCCTATAGGCGTAGGGAAAATCATTCAACAACCTGAATTTTACTGCATATTCGAATGAACCATGTTCAAATACACATACTAGAGCCTTTTTGGCTTGGTTCTTGCGAGAAGAAAAGTTCGGCGCTTACGATTTCGGCCGTTTTTGCCGCCAAGTGCCTAGAAAGCGCGTGAAGCTCTATAGGCGTAGGGAAAATCATTCAACAACCTGAATTTTATTGCATAATCAAGTGGCCCATGTTTAAATACACATACTAAAGTCGTTTTGGCTTGGTTCTTGCGAGAAGAATGTCAAACATTGCATGTTTATATTGTCTAGGCTGTAGTGGGTTACACCTTAGGGGGTACACAAAGTTAGGGTTTCCTACTTGTACCAAACTCTGTTCTAGTTCATTCATTCCTGCTCAGTTATTTCTGACATGGTTTCAGAGCAGGTCCTTCGCTAGGACTGTTCTTAGGGCCCACCGACTTACCTACCTGCTTACCTTCGCTTGTTTCCGGCCCCGCTGGCCCCGTCGATCTAGCACGATCTAGCGGCCCTGCGGCCCCGTCGAAATTTTTTTTCCTAGCGGCCTCTCACGGCCCCCGTCGCGTCGCCCCTTAGCGCCCCGATCGGCCCCGTCACGCCGCCCGCGAACCGCACAGCGCGCCGCGCTCACAGCCCGCGAACCGCCCGCGCACAGCCCGCGACCAGCCCGCGCAGCCCGCGCACAGCCCGCGAACTGCCCGCGAGCAGCCCGCGACCTGCCCGCGAACCCCCGCGAGCCGCCCGCGACCCGCTTACGCAGCCCGCGAGCAGCCCGCACAGCCCGCGCTGAGCCTGCGCGGCTCGTGCGCTGACCGCCGCCGGCCCGCACGCTGCCCGCACTGCTCCCGGCCCGCCGCTGCTGAGCCCGCAGCCGCCCGCGCACCGCCGCTGCTGAACCCGCCGCCGCCCGCGCACCGCCGCTGCTGAGCCCGCCGCCGCCCGCGCACCGCCGCTGCTGCGCCCGCTGCCGCCTGCGTATCACCGCTGCTGAGCCCGCCCCTGCTGCGCCGGCTCTCGCTGCCGCCTGCTGCGCCTGTGCACCACTGCAGATCCTACTACTACACTTCCTGCTACTGCTGCTTGTGCGCCACTACAGTCCGTAGGCCCCACCGGCCCTGCTGACCCTGCGCACGCCTGTTCAGTGACTTTACTGCTTCTACTACTGCCGCTGTCGCTATGGCTAGTCCTCCTGTTCTAGCTTTCGACGCCGAGGGCCGTCCGGTCAAATTCGAAACCTGGCTAGATGACCTGCACCTTTTCCTACAGCTCACTGCCAAGGAAGATATTACACTGTACGACCACGCTC